TTTTTGGGACGACCGATCTCGGAGCACCCGGAGTTCCTCGTTTGTTGCAAAAGTCTCATTCGCGCGGTGATCGAAGGGTTGAAAAATGTCCATTTGTATGACGCCGTATCTCGCGAGCGGGTCGATCTAGTGACGGAGATTGGTCGTAAAGGCGAAATCAATCCACTTACGAGGAATCGCCGGAGTTTCATGGATCGAGAAAACTTTGCCGATCGATCGGTCGTTCCCCCACTTTCTAATCAGAGTAAGAGACCCACGGAGGAGATATTGCCGATTTTATCGACTTGGGAAGCTGAGCGTGTTGGCCGGCTCGATCAACCTTGGCTGTCGAGGGGTCGATGATTGGAGGACGGAAGAAAAAAAGAAAGAAAAAAACGCAAATAACCGATAAACACCTTCAATTACTCGTATACCAATACACGGCGCTAGTTGTAGTAAAAACGGAGAAACACCACCTGTGTCCGTTATATACTTACTTGCTGGTGAAAAAAAAAAAAAAAAGGTAAAAAGTTGTAGCAAAGTACCTACAGGGTATACACATAGTCGTCAACGAGGGGACAAAACTTGTTTGGCCCGAAACGAGTTGGCCAGCGTGGTGGATAAGTGTATACACAAATGTACGTGTAGAGGAGCGAGCGCAACTACAGATTTCGCTTTTCGTCGAGCAATGTCTCGGGCGAAACTTTGAAACGTTTGCGTACGAGTTCATTTATACCTATATGCAGAGGAGAACGAATCAGCTAGACGAAAGAAGAATGTGATCCAAATTAAAAAAATAAAAAAAAATAAAATCATCAGTTGAATATCGTTACGTTTTTTACGCGTAGTTTGCCGAAGTTTGTAAATTGCGCTAAAACAAGCCTCCCCCCTCCCATATCCAGCAGTATATGTATACACGCGCAAAGGAGTCGAGTCCTTTCATATCCAGTCCATCGTAATAATCTTAACAAGTCGGAGAGCAGGTTGGGTGTGACGGGTGTCGTATATAGTGAGCCAACTGCGCATACCAGCATACAATAAACATCGGGGACGAGACGCGCTTAGATGCATGGATTTCTACTAACGTATTAACAACGACGCAATGGGAGGGGGGGGGGAAAAGCAAGCCAGCCAAGCGTCCATAATGAGGCCCACGAAATAACTCCCTCTCCCCCCCCCCAATGAGTCTTCTTCCTAGCCAATTTCCTTGATCCTCGTCGAACCAAAGGGGCATCGGCTCCTTCCGTTCGAGCGAGTCCACGCAAGGGGATGCGCGGAATGCGCGCTCTCTCAAAGAAAAGCAGTGCCGAGGGTCCTCCTCCTCTCACTCGTATTAATTTCATAAGCCCTCGTGCCTCTCTCTCTCTCTCTCGTCCTCGATCATCAATTTATTGCCAACGAAGCACAGCTCTCCCAAGAACGTCCAATCTGACGCGAGTGCGACCCGGCATCTTCGACCCCCCCCCCTTCACGTACGTATAATATTATGTATGTATATGTATATACATTGTGGCGGATGGTCCAAGATGATATCGCGTAGATGCAAGGGAGTGGCGAAGCGGTCGGGGCACCGGCGCGGCTATTAATTTCGATTAGCTCGGGCGTGTAGGTGTACGGACGGCTCTGCTGATTGAAAACGCGATCACGTCCGTTCGTCTGTTTCTGAAAAGCCGGCCGGTCGCCGGGCAGAAAGTGTATATGTATTAAGGAAACTCCGAGTTAAGCATAGCGTACCTTATAAATCCGTACGCTTCTATACCGTGTACCGCTTTTTTTTCTTTTTTTTTTTTTTTTTTTATATCATGATAGTGGATGTATTAAAAAACAGGATTATATTTGTTTCAAACGAAAAGTTGGGGGATGGAGGGATTTATTTCGTAGTGAGTACAGCTGTACGTTTACAATACTTATTGCCCACATGTGCTCGAAAGTACTTATTTGGATGGTATCCCGTGCATATAGGTGGGAGGCACCTATGTATACATACGCGTGAAGTACAATTAGCTTTCGCGTAATGTAATGGCACGTACCAACCAGAGTACGGGAGATCCAAGGTGAAGATTAAAGTGTGTACACGTGTGTATGGTTCAGCGCGTGAATAATGTATTTTGGGAATGTTTATGGGCTACCGGTGTAGGATAAATATGATGTACCCCGTGCAGCGTTCGAGTGCGTATTTAAGTCGTACTTGTGTGCTACTCTGTAATATTACGAGCTTTATGGTACGTCCTTCTAATGGACTGTTAGCTGTATTGGATGCTGTGTATATATTTGCCTCAGCTGTGGTACACAATGACTCGCATAATGCTAATTGCGTTTGTATTTTAATGCCCATGTGTTGGATTCGCGTTACAAAAGTTTAAGTGCCTATATGAGTACTTGTCCCCGGTAGTCAATGCGATCGATTGGACGATGATAATGCGTATATTGTCTTTACATTCCCGTTACATGCTGTCGAAGAGTGTGTTAATAGTAGGGCACCTGAGGAGGAAAAAAAAGGGCCATTTTGGGCTGAATGTATAAATGATAACATTTTTGTGCACACCCTTTGTTTCAAATTGAGAAAAATCTCCTCGTGTATGGGCAAACAAAGAGATGAGCCCGGAGAAGAGGTATACAGTATGAGCAAAGATAAACAAGCCCTTAACGAAGAAAGATCCCTCGCAAGTCGAGCTGAAGCAGCATAGTCTCATGGGCAATCGCGAAAGTTCGACAAGTTCGCGGGCGAGAGGGCACATACGTATAACTACCTCTTCCTTTCCCCCCCCCCCCCGCTTTGCAAAAGAGAACCAGAGATCGGCACAACCAGCCAGATCCTCCACCTCCTGCTCCACCTTCTTGCGGATAAGGAATTTGCGGAGGCAAGTTTGCCAGGACCACTGCACCCGAGTTCGGCCATTCCGTCGCCCTGCTAATACATACTTGTGCACGTATATATATATGTGTATACGAGGAGAGGCTATAGTCGCTCGAATCTCCCTATATTTCTCAGCGCGTTCCATCGCGTAAAGAGATAGCGACGGAGGCGTGTGCGTGGGTATAGGTATACCTGCCGAACCGATTGTCCGGGAGGTTGGTATCGGCTCCTACGCCCAAGGATACGCGCTTCCCCCGCGTGGTTGTTCAGGTACGTATATACTCCCGCTGCAATATACTTCCGGCCAAGTTGGAATCGCTTCAGGAAGCCACTCGGCTGTCTCTCTTCCTCTCGGTTATCCTATACGTGTAGTCCAGATCCAAGTGTAGACTTCTGTTACGATATGTACCTTAAACGCGTGTACCTACGTGCAAATCTGCAAAAGTGTATGACTAGAGAAAGCGGGGAGGGAATAAAAATTAAAAAAAAAAAAGACCTTTTGGGCCAGGCTAGTGGTTCAAATTGGTCCAGCTATTAGGTGATTTCGTTGGAAAGGGATAAAGTGAGAAAAACAAAATACACACAGCTGCGGCTTCCGATGGACATGACAATTTTCTTTACTCTTGGCTTATTGGGATGAAATTAAAACAAACGTGCATTGTACACTCGAGAAGAAATTAAAATATCGATTGACGGTATTGTTTAGCGCACTGCGGTTTTTTGATTACTCTCAAAGTTAAACTTGGATTTCACGCGCATGACTTTCTATACTAATTGCGATCAACATTTTTTCATGATATACATATCATCGAAAGGGCTGGCGAGGTGCTTCAATCGAGTGAAACAATGTTGACAGAGTCGACAGTTACAGTAAGTAAATATACGTTGAAAGCAAAAAGGCCATCCGATAACCTTGGAATTAATTAATGTTGAATCCAGGAGGAGAAGAAACCATCAGCCGTAATTCGGAGTAGTAAAATGCTACCTATACGTATATACACATATGTAGCAGCTTGAAACGATTCCCCCGAGTGGTCCTTCCTTGAGAGAGAGAGAGAGAGAGAAGAGGTAAATCTCCTTCGTACACACAGTAGTCCGTCGCGTGTGACCAGTGCAGGGTCGTCGTCGCCTGCACCTCCTCCTCCTCCTCCTCCTCGCCACCACTCTCACCACCGATTCGAATCGGGGCGCGCACCACCACCGTCGTCATCATCCACCTCGCAATCCAGACGTAATTAAAGTCGTCGATCCTTACTGACCGGCGCTGCTATATGCATATATATTACAATGTATACATACCCCCGCCCCCCACGTGGATACATCAAGTCTGCGTGCGTCTTGTCCATAAATATCAAAATCCAAGGGGGAATAAGTGTAATAATACTCAGTGCAAAGGCACATGCAACCGTATGGTGCAAAGTATATTATGTACTTTTATCATATATACATCGGGTCAGAGTTTATCGTTTCACGCGTTGATATGAGCACAGTGAAATCGGTCGTCTTGACACTGTTCGAATATTACCATGATCGTCGATACAGCGTTGGGAATGGCTTTTACTCTTTAATATGTAGTTTATCTCGTCAATTCGTACTGGGGAGCTCGGCGGCGAATGACAAAATTACTCCAGACGCTCAAGTAAGGTGTTTTATTTTTTATCGATCATTTGTCCCAAATATATCGTTAATTGTGGTTTAATTTCGCGCATATTTGCACGGAATCGCTAACTACCGATTCTTTACGTAACAACAATTACACGAGATAATGTATTGGCCATGATAAATTACACTTTGTATTTAACAATCTCCCGGATGTAACCAAATTGTGCGAAATTTGAGAAAAATCGGTATGATTATTTTAACGTAAACGGACCAAACGATCCAGTCCAACCATTTAATGCGTAAATATGAGACAACATATTACAAATATAACGTACATTTTTCAGTATTGGTAACACAAGTGTATACCTACGCGACATTTAATATCAGAAAGGAAACTTGCGTATCGGCTTACCGATCACGGGCGCTCACCTCAACGTCATACCGCTTACAAGTATAATCATCATTTTTTCCGTTTCGTTCTGCAAATGATGTACCAGCTCGATTGAGAGTCGCTGGCGTACCTCTTACAAACACACGAGAGTGGGAACAAGTTGTATAGTAATATTGGAGAGAGACCCGATCACCCGATGATACGTAGTATATACGCACCATCACCATCGTGCGCCAACTTACATGTACTTACACCACGAGACCGTTGATTCTGGACTTTCTGGAGCCCCGGCATTTATACATCGAGACGCACGTGTAGAGTTGTAAAAGTGCACCTATAAGTACTTACGTATGCGAGCAAACGCGTAAAGCAAAAAAGGATTGGTCGGTGTGCGCGAGTCGCGACAAATATATGTGCAATTAAAAATCGTTTATCGCCTTCGGACCAAAAAGTGTACGTATACGTACGTTGAGAAAAGGAAGCTGTGCTCCGCTTCGGCACTGTCCTCTTGCAGTGCAACCTTTCCCGGTTTACTCGTCGTCGACTCGCGTGTTTAAAGTACCGTGTACTTACTCACATCGAAGCAAAAGTTTGTCCACGCGATCTCGAGTGTTTGATCGTATACGTGATTTTTGATTGCAGGTTCCTGAGGAGAGGCATGGCGAGCGACGTACGAGGCATCGTGCTCTCTGGCACCGAGTTGGCCAAGTAAGTATATCAACCCTACCCATCAATTTATACACGTCTAAATGTATAACCCAACAACCTGTTGATTCAAGCTTCACATTCAGAGAGTTTTTTGTTTTTCGTATTTTTTGGAGCAACTACCTTCCCCCGGGTGTCTCTGGTTTTAGTGTGACCATCATCGTACATGCGGGAAATTCAAAAACATAATTTTTTTTTTTTCTCCCCACGTATCTATAATTGTGTACGCCACAGGTAACTGATGTGACTCTCTAAAACGCATAAATAATGTACACTTATAGACCGGAGCAAGGTCATCGATGTTACTGTTTGCGTAAAGTAACTCGTGTATTTTTTAATTGAAATAATAATGTTTTCATCGATCCCTTTCGTGTGATAAGTACTCGAGAGAGATCGGTTGGCGAAACAAATTGCGCAAAGACGATAATTACTTGCGTTATCTTGCCGAGTGCGTATCGGTGTTGGCTTAGGGTCGGTGTTTACAAAACAGTGGAGCCACCGCGAGCTGCGTACGCGTAGAGAATATGTTGATAATATAAATTCTTGAAAATGGTAGCAAAAAAAAAAAAAAAAAANATTTCACAAGATTGTATCGATCGCGTTGTTATACATACGAAACACCTACTCCACGGAGGGGCCAGGCCGGATCACCTACTCCATATTTATCATCATCAACTGGCCATTGCGAATGGGAATAACGCCGGGGGGCCAGCAGCTGTGCTCGAAAAAAAAAAAAAAAAAAAAAAAAAAAGGCAAAGAGTGTTACTTTAGAATTATCATAAACATATATGTAGAATTGAGAATTGATTTGAAACATAATTCCTCGTGACAGAGAAATTCGCGAGTCCCTGGGCAAGGATGTGGCGTCAATGAGGGCAAAACTGCCAAACTTCTCGCCGGGACTGGCAATAGTGCAGGTCGGAGGCCGGGAGGACTCGAATGTGTACATCCGCATGAAGATCAAGGCAGCGAGTGAGATCGGGATAAACGCGACCCACGTCAAGTTGCCCAACACGACGACCGAGTACGAGCTCCTCTCGAGGCTCGCCAAGCTCAACAACGACCCCGACACCCACGGCATCATCGTCCAGATGCCGCTCGACACGGCTACCAAGATCGACTCCGACCTCGTCACCGACGCCGTCTCTCCGGACAAGGACGTCGACGGGTGCGTGTCTCCCCACAAACTGCATCTACCTTCGAGAAATCCCGTTAATCGATCTAAATATAAATTAGGTGCTATTGAACACGATTCGTCACGATTCAAAGCAAAAATCGTGTCCATGCCGAGCTGGATACACAATACCGATAACTTTTCGCTCGAGCCATGTGTATATACATGACGCATTGCATCCCTTTGACACGCCGATAACAAAGCATGAATAACAACAAAAAGAGCATTACAGATTGTCCATAAAGTAGTGTGCGAATATAATATAAAACTACACAGTTTACACCCATAACGCGTTAAATTGAAAATTTTTCGGAATTTCGCGATGAAACGCGCCATCCATATAGTATACATTTTGAGAGAGAGAGAAAGAGGCCGGTATGAATTGTCGTGGGAGTATAACTTTATCGTAAATCTTCAGATTACACACGATCAACGAGGGCCGGGCTTCCATCGGCAATATGTCCGGATTTTTGCCGTGCACGCCCAACGGTTGCATCGAGCTCATAAAAAGGTGCGTAAATCAACGGCTGATGCACGTGCGCCGCCATCGACTCTGAAGACGAGAGAAATATCCGTTTTTTTTTTTTTTTTTGTTTTTTTTTATGTGTATATAATTTTCAGGAGCGGAGTGTCCATGTCGGGCGCTCGCGCCGTAGTGCTGGGCAGAAGTAAAATCGTCGGCACGCCCATGGCGAGTCTTTTAAAATGGCACAACGCCACCGTCACAATCTGCCACTCCAGAACGAAAGACATCGCCTCGGAGGTCGGTATATGATTCGACGACAAGTAACCCGCGATTAATTTACTCGTGGTTTGAGATGTTTTTTTTTTTTTCTCTTTTTGCAAGGTCGCCAAAGCCGATATTCTGGTCGTCGCCATCGGGCAGCCAGAGTTCGTCAAGGGCTCATGGATCAAACCCGGCGCCGTCGTCATTGACTGCGGCATCAATTCAATCAGCGGTACGTCTAGTTCTCAAATGTTCACTTTTTTTCAACGCTTTTAAATCACTTTGGTTTCACAACCAACATTAATAGCCAATAATCTCGTCAACTTATATTATCAGTAGATTATGTCAAAACAAAATTATCAGCTGTGCTCTGTAACGGTTCAATTCGTTGTGAAATGCAAAAAAAAAGCGCGTGGCAAACAAAATAAAGAAAACGAGCAGAGGCCGCCTCTCGCTTCGTTTCACTATAGGGGCCCTCCTCCTCCCTCGCGCTCTTGTCTCACCATATCAAAATTTTTTGCTAAACTAAGTGAAACTACTCTCTTGCCGCGTCCGATATATTTCTGCCGAGTTGATTGAGTGTACCCAAATACTTACCGCATACGCATCGATCAGTCGCTTGTTGCAAAAAAAAAAAATAGAGTCACCGGTAGGGGGTGCGCGAATTTAATCGGTAAGTACAAAGTGTCCATTGTTTTTCATTCAGTTCATACGTGTAGCAAGATGAAATTTTGCCAAGACCAATACAATGTTCGACTATAATTATATCAATACTACTTGTTGTTTCTCAACGACCCCTCCCCCTTCCCTTACTGGACAAAGCTTATAGGTATGATACGTACACGTATGTACACAAGCAACTAGGGGTAAATGACCCAATTACTGTGCAGGTACCAATTACTGCGCACTCGACGGTAACTGAAAATAAGAAAAACAGACTGAAAAATTTGGGTGCTTGGATATTGTAACACGTACGGACATTAATAACGTTCAATTCAGAATCATACTTTACATCATGACATTTATAATTGTTTAACTGAGTGACTCTAAACGAATCTAACCTACAAAACTTTGTAGTCGTGCGTAGTAATTGGTGCGCAGCAATTGGGTCTAGGGCTTCAGCATGAAAACCTTATGGGAGATACCCGCGCAGTAATTGGGGACGCAGCGACTGGTGCTAATTTCATAACCGTACGCAGTAATACCAGCAAGTGATATCAACACTAAAACAATTATTTAAAAAAAAAAAAAAAGTTACTTAACAGAAAAATGTTTGTCGTTTTAATCGCACAAGATGCTGCAGATAAAGATTAAGTAAAACTGGTTCAATTTACATCGAAAAACATTGAGAAATGAGAAATTTAGTACAATCAAAAATTTCAGTGCGCAGTAATTGGGTCATTTACCCCTATTTAGTTTAGCTCGAATGTATAAATGACGTAGGTGCCTAAAGAGTGTAAACAAAACAGTAGTCATGTGTGTATACGTTACAATATGACAGTTGACCTGTAAGATATCAAAACAAAATAAAGACAAGAGGAAATCTTCGGCAGATCCGACAAAAAAGTCGGGCCAGCGTCTGGTGGGCGACGTCGAGTACGAGGAGGCCGCGAAAGTAGCCTCGTACATAACTCCGGTGCCGGGTGGCGTGGGCCCCATGACAGTGGCCATGCTGATGAAGAACACCGTACTGTCGGCGCAGCGCGTCGCCGAGCGCGTCCTCGAGATCCAGTGGAAGCTCCGCCCGCTGCGGCTGAAGCTCGAGAAGCCAGTGCCGAGCGACATTGCGATCTCGCGCGCCCACGAGCCCAAGCCGATCGACGTCCTCGCCCGGGAGATCGGCGTCATGCCCAACGAGCTCAGCCTCTACGGCAGCAAAAAGGCCAAAGTCGGCCTTGGCGTGCTCAAACGCCTGCAGCACCAGAGTAACGGCAAGTACTTGGTCGTCGCCGGTATCACCCCGACGCCGTTCGGCGAGGGCAAGAGCACTACCACCCTCGGCCTCGTCCAGGCCCTCACCGCCCACCGCGGCAGAAACTCGTTTGCTACCCTCAGGCAGCCCAGCCAGGGCCCGACCTTTGGAGTCAAGGGAGGAGCGGCTGGCGGTGGCTACTCTCAGGTATCTTTCACCCACGCCATCAGAGCGCGTCCTTTATTGCTCCTCGCAATTGTCGTCAAAGTTGACAAACTTGATTTTTTTTTTCATCACCAGGTCATTCCCATGGAGGAGTTCAATCTGCATCTGACGGGTGACATTCACGCGGTGTCGGCCGCCAACAACCTGTTGGCAGCGCAGATAGACGCGCGATACTTTCACGAGGAGACGCAGCAGGACAAGGCGTTGTACGACAGGCTCGTGCCGACGGTCAAGGGCGTGAGGGCCTTCTCCAAGATCCAGCTGAGAAGATTGGCCAGGCTCGGCATCGACAAGACCGATCCCAACTCCTTGACCCCGGAGGAGCAGAGAAGGTTCGCGAGACTCGACATCGATCCCACCAACATCCCCTTCACCAGAGGTTGTGCACAATCATTGATCTCACGTATCTGTTCATCAAAAAACAAAAATGATAGAGGTTGTTTAACGTTCAATGTTGCTTCGTCGTCACAGTCGTGGACCTGAACGACCGGTACCTGCGCAAGATCACGATTGGCCAGGGTCCCGCGGAAAAGGGCAAGACGCGCGAGACGTCCTTCAAAATTTCCGTCGGCTCGGAAGTCATGGCCATCCTCGCCCTGGCCACGAGTGTCGAGGACATGAAGACCCGGCTCGCCAACATGGTCGTCGCGTTCAACAAGCGAGGAGAGCCACTCACGGCGGACGATTTTGTAAGTACTTATAGCGTTCCCAAAACCATTTGTGATGCATCAAATTACCTTTTGCCGTGCGCTTTGCAGGGTGTGACGGGCGCGATGGCGATATTGTTGAAGGACGCGATAGAACCGACGCTCATGCAGAGCGTCGAGGGAACCCCGGTACTGGTGCACGCGGGTCCTTTCGCCAACATCGCTCACGGCTGCTCGTCCATACTCGCCGACGCGATAGCTCTCAAGCTCGTCGGACCGGACGGTCTGGTCGTCACGGAGGCCGGCTTCGGCTCGGATATCGGTATGGAGAAGTTCTTCGACATAAAGTGCCGCACGTCCGGCCACGTGCCCAACGCCGTCGTGCTCGTCGCGACGATCCGAGCGCTTAAGATGCACGGCGGTGGACAGCCGGTGACTCCTGGTGCCCCGCTCAACCGGGAGTACGTCGAGGAGAATCTCGATCTGGTGAGAAAGGGCTTGCCTAACTTGATCAAGCACATCAGCAATGGGGTCAAGTTCGGGGTGCCGGTCGTCGTTGCGATAAACGCTCATCAGAGCGACACGCCAGCGGAACTGCAGATCGTCAAGGAGGCGGCGCTTGCGAACGGCGCCGACGCCGCGGTCGTTTGTACGCACTGGGCCGAGGGTGGTCAGGGAGCGTTGGAGCTCGCCGATGCCGTTCTGGCTGCCACCTCCAAGCCAAGTGACTTCAAGTTCCTTTACGAGCTAGACCTCGGTATCGAGGATAAGATCGAGAAGATCGCCAAAGAGATGTACGGAGCCGGGGAAATCGTGCTGGCCGAAAAGGTGAGTGTTTACGCCGTGTTTTAGATTTTGGTCATGCATTGTTTCGTTTGCGCAGGTCAAAGAGAAAATCAAAGAGTACAACAGACTTGGCTACGACAAACTTCCGCTCTGCATGGCCAAGACGTCCAACTCGTTGACGGGAGATGCCAACGTCAAGGGAGCGCCAACAGGATTCAAACTTGATATCACGGATATATTTGTGTCGGTGGGCGCTGGATTCGTCGTACCGATGGTCGGAGAGGTAATTTCAACGAAATTTACATGTGCATTTTGGATTTTCAATTAAAAAAAAAAAAAAAAAAATTAATACCTTGCGTCTTATCTCTTGCAGATTATGATGATGCCTGGACTGCCAACGAGGCCAAGTATTTTCGACATGGATTGGAATAGCGAAACCGATGAAATCGAAGGACTGTTTTAATGAAAAAGAACTGAGTTTTTTTTTTAATTGTTACAAAAGAACAAGCTACGTGTGTATTTACATTCCTTGTTACATCATTTTTCTACAATGTAAAATTTTATCATACATAAAGTTCATAGTTTATATTCATTTTTGTTTTTAACAATGTTACAATATAAATAACTATTTTGAAACAGTGTTGTTTTTATTTACCTCTTGACGGCGAAGACACTCAATTATTTGACTTTTACCAATGCTCGGAATTTTGCCGATCTGGCTCTTGGATTCATGCTCACTTCTTCGTCCGTGGGAGTTAAAACGTGTTTATGCAGCATCTTCCAATTTGACTGTGTGAGTTCCATAATGTCTTCCTTGCATTCCCAAACTTTTCCGTAGTTCCGGTATCTCAGAGGTAACTCATTGGCCATACTGTCCGTCACATTTCCAGAGAGATGTCTCTTAACAATGGTATCTTCCAAAGAATGAAAAGATATTGTAATCAAACGGCCGTCGATTTTCAACAGTTTATTTGCTAATACGACGCCCTGATTGATCTCATTTAATTCGTTATTTACAAATATTCTTAGAGCTTGAAAAGTTTTTGTAGCGCAATGCTGAAATCTACCCAATTGGTCGACTCCAGCATCACCTGGGAACAGAGACTCTATGAACTTGGCCAGCTCATGAGTTGTTTTTAAACTTCTAAAAAGATATCTTGTATCAATTATAGCTCTGGCAATTTTTCTTGCTCTTTTCTCCTCTCCATAGTACTTGATGATATTATACAAATCTCTATGTGTGGTTCTCTCAAGAACATCTGCAGCTGTTGGTTGCTCTGGACACCTGTTTCCATCCATTCTCATGTCCAATGGACCATCCTTTGATATCATGAAACCTCTTTCTGGTGTGTTGAACTGCATGGATGAGCATCCAAAGTCACAAAGAATCCCATCTATACTATTTTGTTGGACTTTATGCTTTTTCAACAAAACTGGCAATTCAGAAAATTTACCTAGCAACGGTATTATTTGACCTGGGTACTTCTTACCCAAATCTTCAGCAAAATTCATAGCAACTGAATCTCTGTCGAGAGCAAAAATCTTGACATTTGGGACAGATTCTAAAATAAATTTTGAATGACCTCCAGCACCAAATGTCATATCAATGATTGTATTTCCTGGTGATAGATTCAAATACTTGATTGTTTCATTTACCATGACTGGTGCATGAGACATATCTTCAAACTGTTTGAAATCAACAGCTAGACCAACACTGTGAGTGCTATACAACCTTCTAGGCACAGCATAGTATCTAAACACTTTAAAGCAATGCATTTTTTATACCAATTAGCTAATAATACAACTTGATCAAGTTAACTACTGCTTCTATAATGGATCATGAGTCTTTAGTCTTAATAAATAACTAATTTACTCTACTCTGTTGCTTCGAAGAAACCTCTTCGGGAGTTTTTGAAAAATATTTCGATATTGTATTCTTAAGCTTAGCAACAAACCCTTTCTTTTGCTCTTGAAACAATTTCTGCATTTCCGGCGTTAATGCAGCACTTAGCACTTCTAGCTTTAAACCAGTGGACGTGTTGGTCAAGTTGACTGGATACTTTTTTCCATAATAATTTGACGCTAATCTTTCCAGACTCTCTAGTTGCTTCAAACACTCTTTTTCATCCTTTATCACACTTTTCTCTCCTTTGGGAAATGCAGCCTTCACTTGTTCACGAATAAATTGACCAAGGTCCCTGTAAAAATGCAATACTCTGTGTACGCGATTTTTTTATTTACAGAAAATACTTTTCTACACGAAAAATGTCGAATATCACAAAATTTTAATTTTAGTACTGCTACTAGAGAATTCGGAGTTCCGTTTCGTTGGGTCTTTAAACAACATGTCATAATAAGATAATATTGCATTATAAGACGTGATTTCCTCATTGACTCGATAATTTACCTTTCTTTAAACAAGTTGTCAAACAAAACAAAATAAATAAAAGTGCCAAGAATTGAAATTTGAGTACACTAAAACTAACCTAAAAAAGTGTGTACGTACTAAAACAATTCAAGCCCTACACAACTAAATGAATGATTCGAATTGTTTATACGCACAAGTACACTTACGGCGATTTATTATTATCAAGAGGCCAGCTATTCAATAATCTCATGTATCTTTTATACAAATTTGCCATTATAAAATTAAAATAACTCCCAAATGCAGAAACTTGACGCCATCGAGCAGAACACGTGTGGACGTGTGCACTGCAATCATTAACTATATATATATATATATATATATATACACATGTGAAATAAGAAGGAAAGTGGGAAAATATAAATTACGTAAGTAAAAATAACTGATGCGAGCTATTTTTATAATGGTTTTATTTGATACATTAAAATACTATGAAGCTGAAAATTTTGTGTCTCTTGATACTTATTACTTGGAACTCATCTTGACGCACTATGGATTGAAATATTTTTTTGGTTGATTAATGCTCTGGTTTATTTGTACTTTTTGGCCAGTTTTTCTAAACAAATTAATTTTTGAGCAACTTTAAACTTTGACTTTAATATGAGGCATACATTACAAATTACTTACGTAGTCAGGTGGCCATGAAATAACTGGAATGTGGTAGTTATTTTTTACACGTTCATTATCTGGTTCATGACGATCTTTAGTTTGTTGAGAATTATTGTTTTCTCCCTGGACTTCTTTTTGTAAAACACCTCCTTGATTATCATGTCTTTGTAAAACAATCGCATTGTCCGGCGTTTCAGACAATTCTTTAGTTTTTGGTGTTATATTATCCACCCATAGGTCAGACTCATATATTGGATACACCAAATAAACAACTGACCAAGGAGTAATGTTAGTATAATCAATAACTGCAGCAGCTTTGCTAAATGTTATTAAGAAGGCACACAATATCTAAAATAAAAAGTTAACTTTAAGTAAAATTGATTTTGAAGTCTAGGCCAATATTAAGTTGAATAAAAATCTAATTTTGACTTACAACTGGAGGCAAATACATTTTCAAATTACAATCGATATACTAAATCAGAAATGAAATTCCAAACTGTTTTATAGTCTCCCATCGTGATATTATTAAGCTATATAGACATGTGATATAGATTTACATCCTACACTTAGATAATGAATCTCAAGTTTCACTAATCCAAAAGTACAACATATTGAAGATCACGTTGAAATAAGATCACGATCAAGTAAGTATGAGATGGGTGTTTTTTTTAAAAATAATAATTTATTCATGTTATATAAAGACTTACGGACGAATGTGAACACTTTAAATGCTTAAATTTAAACTATATATTATTTATCTTTCAACTGACTCCAGGGGCACAACATTACAGCCAAGTAAGCCCTTTCCACTCCAAGGTCGTGGAATAAGAGTCAAAGCAAAAGTATTAGATCCACGCTTGATTTTTACAGCCACATTTTTATATCTACTGTTTTCCACTATGGATCCAATATCTTTCAGAGAATTAAAATTACTGCTTGTAATCGATCCAAACTCCAGTATAAGATCTTCCGTTTGAATACCCTTGAAAACAAGTTATTCGTGCTTAACTCATACCAGTATATTAAGCAAATAATTTTCTTTCTATAATTCACCCAAAATTTAATTTATACAAAGTGAATTTTTCAATAACTGTTTGTCTTAGTGACACTACTGCTTTCAATTTAAGAATGATGAAATAAAAGTTTCTTACTGCTAATTCTGCCGGCGAACCAGGGGACACTAGATTAACTCTCAAAAATGGCTCCAACAAAAAGTTCCCATCCTGCAAGCCACTCGAAGTCGCCGGAGTCTCCTCCTGTGCATTCGCAGTACCTCCAATTCCAGCACACTGGTGAACTTTGTGCAAGCCTCGTTCGATCTTTTGCATTATGGCCTTATGATCATTTTGCAAACCTGTGATTCCAAACACGTAACGTTATGCAATACTCCACTATATAATAGTACTTAGCCGTGTAACGGTAAAGTAACTTACATATGATTTTGTGTCGAGCGTGCCGCACTTGATAAACATTTATGTCATTTCGCGGGTAACCTTGAGAATCAGTCAACTCGTCAGTCATACTCACGCCATTCTAAAATCAAGATTAAATTTGTATGGATATCAGACACAATTATTTTCCTTCTTTTTCCTGCCCTTCCGAGATATACGTCAAAAAGTGACAGATCATCGTGAGCAGAGGTTGGGTGGCTTGTTTACTAGCCCATAATGCAATGAATTAACAAATTTTTAATGCCAAAAGTTACTCACGGTACTGAGAATGTTGTTGGCCGACGCCAATTCAGCCTCAATTTTTTCTTTCTCCTTCATAAGCTGTAAAACAGCTTCTTTCGCCTCCTCGAGCTCCGTGTCGACGACCATTTTTTTCCTACAACTTGCAATTGCTACGGAGAGTTGCACGAGTTGATGCGAATACAAAAACAAAATGTCAGGGCCGTATCTATATGTATAGGTGGTGCTGTCTGTTTTTCTAGGATAGAAAATTTTTTGTGTATCTTAACTAAAAATTGATTGTGGAAAACACTTTTATTTACCTTTCTTCGTACATTTGAAAAAAATTATTAGATACAACAATTAATTAAAAAGATCGCTTGGCAACAACAACAGGTGATCGCATGAAAAAATATGTATATATACGCTAGATATAAATAAACAGTGTGACCTTACAATAACAGTGACATGAGGTAAGAATAAATAAATCCAGATTAAAAATAATGTATGTACATTAGGACATTTGATATTTCAAAAACAAAGCCTTCAAGTATCTAGCCTCATAAGTGACAGTCTCCTTGGGTTTGATCGTGGGCACGGATGATATCTCCGACGCGTCCAACGTCGACTCCAAAACAGTTGGTATTTCTCTTCCGTAAACTGTATGATGAGAAAAAAACAGGCCCAAATGTGTAAGTACTTGAAAAAGAGAGAGAAAAAAGGAAAAAGATCCTTACGTTCGCAGTGCTCGAAGAATTGAATGCAATCCTGCAGCGTGTTGTCGTTGAGTACAACCAGTTGCTTTGTCAATTGCTCGAGGAGCGAGAGGAAGCATCGTTTCGCGTAGTACCAGGTGTCGGTGCCGAGTTTTTTGCTGTACGGCTCGAGGCTCTTCATAACGCGCGATATCCCAAACTCGTAGTTACCCTTGGCGCAGTAGAGCGTACCAATCACCAGGTTGACGATGCACAGGTGGAAAAGCTTCTTGTCCTGCTCCTCCCCGAAAACGCTGTCCTCCTCCTTTTCGATCTTCTTCATTAGCTGCTCGGCCTCGCTGTTCTGCGACGTCATTATGTAACTCACGCACAGGTTCGCCAAAACTATCGCGCTCACGTCCAGGAGCTGAAAAATGTTTTCTTATCTTGGTTATCAAAATTTACATGTTTTCGTCGTCGTCCAACAACGTACATTGTCGTATTTCTTTTTGACAATTGGCTCGTAAAATCCAACCGCGTCCCGGAACTTGTTCTCCTGCATGAAAACGGTGTGGGCAACGTTGAGCTTCCAGACCTCGTGCTCGTTGCAAAACTCGACACTCTTTTTGAATATCTTCTCGACTTGTGCGTAATTGCCCAGGTCCCAGAATATTTTTGCCTGGGCCATCAGCACCGGGACGTAGCGCTCGAGGGCCTCGTCGTAATCCTTGATCGCCTTTTTCGCCGCGCCCTCGTCGTGATTCAGTCGCGCCTCCTGCAGCTGCTTCGTCGTTTTTCGCAAGATCTCGGTGTGCTTGTTCGCGAGCTCGTCGAACTTGCGGTACGCGTCCTCCGGCGCTGTTTGCTGAGTTATCAGGGCGTCCAGGAAATCGTAGAGATACTGGAAAAAAAAACATGCAATAGGACATCGCTGCTTTACGCTTAGGGGAGGAATTTGAATTTTGATGTTTTACTCGATACGGCCCTGAGATGCGCAAGCTCCCGCGCAGTCGCGGTGAACGCAAGCTCTAAAACATAACCTCTGTATTTTTTTTTTTGGCAGTGTTGTTGTTTACTAATGTGCCGACGACTCCGAAATGAAAGTTGTTGCAATAATTATTAAGTGGTGTTGAAAAACTGGCTAACAATGGCTGATTGCAAGGTTAACGAAATATTTCGGGGTGAGGTGTCCTCGGTGCAAAATTACGGAGCCTTCATTAAAATACCCGGCTGTCCTCAACAGGGCTTAGTTCATAAGACTCAGGTATATTGGTTCTAAACAAGTCTATTGTGTATTTTATTGTTTTTTTTTTTTTTTTTTTTTTTTTTTTTTTTTTTTTTTTTTTTTTTTTTTTTTTTTTTTTGTTTTTTTTTATGTGTATATAATTTTCAGGAGCGGAGTGTCCATGTCGGGCGCTCGCGCCGTAGTGCTGGGCAGAAGTAAAATCGTCGGCACGCCCATGGCGAGTCTTTTAAAATGGCACAACGCCACCGTCACAATNTTTTTTTTTTGTAATTGAGTACAATTTAAATTTTGTGTAAATTGTGGTTTTAGGTAAGTGCGTCGCACGTCGATGACGTAGCTGATGTTTTGCAGAAAGGTGATAAAATTTGGTGTAAGACAATATCAATAAACGATGAGGGAAAAATTGCGTTGTCCATGAAGTACGTGAATCAGGGAAATGGAAAGGATTTGGATCCCAATGGTGTGCAAATGCACTTGGACGACCAAAAAAGAAAGACTATGAGCAACAGGCAAGAGAAAAAAGCAATAGTTCTCGATGCAGTGTACAAAACTACCTGTTCAAAGTGTAAGACTCCCGGCCACCTAGCCAGGGACTGTTTTTCCACCCCTGACGGTAAAAAGTATGAACTTATACCAGAAATTGATGACATAGAAATTTCTCCTCCACCGCAACCTCAGTCAGTGGTGCAAGATGAGAGCAAGTCAAAAGAGAAAGAAAAAAAACATAAATCCAAGAAATCGAAAAAGAGGAAAAAGAACAAATCATCTCACAAAGATTCATCCGATGAAGATGAAAATGACTGCTCCGATGAAAAAAAGAAGAAGAAAAAGAAAAAGTCCAAGGAATCCAAACACAAAAAGAAGAAAAGACACCATAGTTCAAGTGACAGTGACTCATCAGAGTGTGACTCTAATTCAGATAAGCAGCATTCAAAAAAGTGTAAACGCTCCAAAGAAAAACATGGAGATGGAGTTTGAAGTATGAAATATGCACTGCTGTATAGTATTGAATACTGTAAAATATACTTTTTTTTTTTAAATAGTTCTAATAGCACTATATTGGTTCTTCAAATTAATTATAACTTTGATTTTCTACTTACGGGACTCAAGTACTTGTAAGTTAGATGCACATTTTCCGCTAGAATATCTGCCGCTACGTCGTAATACTGATACTTGCAGTACAACAACAAGATGTTTGCAAATGTCTCGGGAGGAAAAGGATTTTGTTTCAGTAAAAAGTGTAACTTTTCAAATCCCTCATTTGGCTTTGTATCCATATTAATCAAAGCTTGATTATGCAAAGTCACAGCGTCCAATTCCTCTTCCGACCGTGGAGGCATATCCGTCAGTGCATCTTTTGCAGCCTCATCTAGCGCAAATCGAATTATTAGGTTCTTTCTTTTGTGCGGAAATAATTTATAATGTTTGGAATCAAGCTAATTACAATTTTTTAGCTCGAATTCAATCGCAGCTTTCAAATTAAAAGCTTCTGTCAAAGCTGTTTCATGAAGAGTCAGTGTATTTCCCACGCTTGTCACTTCTATCCCTTCTGTATTCATACCGACATTCAGCTCGGGATGTTCTTTGATTCCTTGCTCAATTATGTACGCTAAAACACCAGTAAGTCAATAAATTGAATCCACACTTTGAAGTCGTGTGAAATAGTATCGTTCAAAATACCAATATGCTTTAAGGCTGATGTATATTGCTTTAGCCTGTAGTAACACAAAGCTACGTTGTAAGACAAGTGAGGTCGAAAACCCGTGATCTGCAAGGCATTGGAAAATTTCTTCAAAGCCTGTTCGTATTCGTTCTCCTGTAAGTGCATCGACAGCAATATTTGAGAAAATATCCAAATACGAATTAAACTTGATTTGAATCTTCTTTTACCTGGTACATCAGACATCCGAAATTAATTTCTGTATCGATATCATCGGGAGGACACTGGTCGACGTAACTTTTCGCAGCTACGGTGTCTTCTTCGCCGTATTTGATGGCAGCTTGGAGTTTCTTGACCCTCACCTCGAGACTGGGATTATTGGCGATGCTCGCGCAAACGGACCAAGCTTCTGGGTACAGGCAAGCCTGGTGGAGGGCTTGGGCCTGGTACAATTTATAAATCGGCTCATCGGGACACATATTTATCAATTTCTCGTAGCAATTGGCTGCAGCCAAGAATTCTTGAGTGTAAAAGTAACAGAAGGCCAGCAGGGACAGGCAAGGCCTCGACTGTCAGTAGAAACGAGGAGTAAATTAGAAAAATCGATGAGCCCAAATGGCTGTATAGTTATTTTTACTAACCGAGGAGTAGGAGTCTAAAAGCACTGTCAACAATTGTACAGTCTCGGCATAGCGTTGTTCTTTTATCTGAAAATTTATTATCATCAATTTGAAAAATTGTACACTCGTTTTTTCAAAATCACAATTTTTTATTTACCATTGTGTATATCACTTTCGTGTACTCCCCATCTTTTATTTGCATGTTATATATAAACGTACTCATTGTCTTTGTTTAAATTAATGTCGGCAAATATTCGTCTCTCGGACCGTCAACTCATCAGAACGACTCCCACGTGTTGTGTTTTGAATTTGCGAGGCCGTCGCTATGGCAACTTTAGAAGCCATGTAATGCAAGTAATGTATGCACTTTTTTATTTTTTTAACGGGAAAATCATCAGAAAAGCAGTAAGTAAATAACACGCGATTGGCTGGATTTAAGAATTGTACAAATTATTTCAAATGTAATAAGGAAATAATATTCATATCGAAATATAAGGATACAAATTTTTTTAAATAAATTTATTTTCGGGTAAAGATTCAAACGGTCCACCGGACCAAAGTATTATTTTTTGTATCAAAAGTAAAATAATATGACAAAGGCCCAACGCTACCATCAAGTAAAATCAGTAAAATGGAACGGAATAAAACAATTACGGACAAGACGCGCGGATCGCTTTCTCTTTCTTACACGAAGGAAAAAAAATACACTATCAAACAACATGTGTGCAATCAGTTTTATTTGTTTGTACGAATCAACGGGATTGAATTTAATTTGCAATTTTACAAATAATTAGTGATTAGCTAAATGAATAATTCCATATGATAATAATAAGAACAACGTACAAGTTGAGAAATTTACACCATCACAGTTGAAAAATGTTTGCTTTTTCTCGATCATACGCGCACAAGCACACACAGCCGCAACTAAAAAACCACGGAAGTAAAAAAATATATCAGCTTACGCTCTATGGAAAGCAAGATTGTAAAATGTTTTTTTCTTTATTGTTTTCAGTGCACTTGAAAAATTGTATGATTATTAAAATTTTTATTTATCACAACATACATAACGTATAATATATATATAACATTGTAATAGCACTTTGTCTGGCTCGAATGTGAAATTCATCAAACATATATCACACGGTCTATCCCCTGGTCGTTGCGGAAGGCGCCGGTCGAGGAACGAGAGCCAGAACCCTCAGATCTTTCAAACCAAGGTACTTGAGAACTTCTCTACGGACTACGTAAGGCAACTCTAACGGCACGACTCGCCCCTCGGCGCTGCCACGGAAGATAAACTTCAAAGCCCCCTCGGCAGCGTCGAGCAGCAGCTTCTTGGCTCTTCCCCTCTCGTAATTTTTGCGCATCATCGCGGAATATATCGGAAAAGCGTTGGCGTAATCGCTGGACTCGAAGGCACCGCTCATGCTCTCGTTTCGCGCGTAACGAGCCATCGTGTTCGGGTCCTTGGTCAACAGATCGTAGTACGTCACGCTGTTGTGAATCTTTTTGCTCCTCATGTTGGCCAGCTCGGCCCGGCACTGCTCGTAAAACACCTGCAGCCGAAACTTTTGCCGTATGAGGCTCAAGTTTTGCTCGCTCACGTGGAGCCCCTCCGAGACGAGTTTCGCCACGTACATGACGAGACAGTCGGTGATACCGCGCATCTTCTCGCTGCCGGGTATGTCCTCGTACCTCGTGCTGTCGGTCGCTACGACCAGCGGCGTCTCGTCGTCGCTGTCCTCGGCGTCGATGCTCGCGTTCCAGCTCAAGAGCAGCTCCACCATCTCCCGGTTCATGTCGTACACGGCCAGCCTCAACAGGGTCTGGTAAACCTTCACCGGGACGTTCACGTCGGCCCCGTGGTACAAAAGGCACTCGGCAATCTGGCACCGGCGTTTCTTCACCGCGTAGTACAGCGGTGTAAAGTCGTCCAGCTTCGTCTTTAGGTCCACGTCCATTCCCAGTCCCAGGAACAACTCCACCAGCTCCTTGGACCCCCTCTTTGCGGCAAAGTGTAGCGCGGTCCGGCCGTTGATGGTCGCTTCGTTGACACTGGCGCCTCTGGCCAGGAGGATCCTTGCTATCCTGGGCCGTTGGTTTTCCGCGGCAAAGTGCAAACAGGTCTTCCCGTCCTTGCGCCTCGAGTCGACCCTGGCCCCGTGCCTCAGCAAGCACTCGACTATCCCTTCGTCCTCCCCTCTGATGGCCAGGTGAAACGGCACCTGGCCGAGTATATCCCTGGCGTTGACGTCCGCCCGGTACCCCAACAGAGTCCTGACCATCTTTTCGTCCTTGTTCCTCACCGCCATGTGCAGCGCGGTCCACCTGTACTCCTCAAAGTCGCAGACGCTGTCGTTGACGTCGGCCCCCCGGGCCAGAAGCATTTTCGCTATGTCCAGGCAGCCCCTGCGCACCGCCAGGTGCAACGGGGTCCGGCCGTGGCAGTTTTTCACGTTCACGTCGGCCTTGTGGCCCAACAGTAGCTTGATCATCCTCCTGTCGGCGAACTCCACGGCCAGGTGCAGGGCCGTCTTCCGGTACAGGTCGCAATCGTTGACGTTGGCCCCGCTGTCGAGCAAGAGCTTTACGAGCCTGTCGTCCTGCTGCTGACGGTTCCTGATGGCAAAGAGTAGCGGCGTCTCCTCGCACAGGCCGCCCTTGTCGTTGACGCAAGCCCCGTGCTTGAGCAGCAATTTTACTATCGCCAACGAGCCGTCGCCCCCAAACACCCACTCGGACGACGATGGACCGCGTCTTTTGCAGCTTGCGTGCAAAGGACTCTCCAGCTGGTCGTTTTGGATCCCGACGCGGGCTCCCCGTTGTAGGAGCAGCTTCACAATTGCCGGCTTGCCAGCGAGGACCGCCAGGTGGAGGGCCGTTTTTTTCTGATGGGAGTAGGCCCGGTCGTCCGGGTTGACTTGGCAGTTTTGCGACAGGAGCCACTTGGCTATGCCCGTTCGGCGGTGCTCCAGCGACCACAGCAACAGGACGTAGCCCCCCTGCCAATTTTTCCTCTGCTGGAATCCCAAGATCGACACGAGCTTTTTCAGTTTCTTCAGCTTTCCCTTTCTTATGCACTCGCTGGCTTCGTAATCCACGTCGTATTCCATGTCGATCTAATCCTCCATTTGTGCCAGCAGTATTCTCATTAACAAAAAATCACGCGTCCATACCGGCTCACAACTGTTTTTCGTTCGTAAACGCTCCACCTGTGAATGCATTCCAAAATTACAATCGTTTATACTATATACGCTTGGTTGAAGCGCCAAGCAATGTACGTTTATTTACCTTTTCCAGTTTTGAAAACACGGGTGTCTATACCGCTGAAAGTCCAAAAGTGCCAAAATCCATCTCGTCTACTATATTACATATGTACATCACGCAACGCCATATACGTCGAGGCCTGCAAAAACTAAACAAGCACCTCGGTAACGCGTATCCAAAAGAGTAACAATAACGAATGTATATATCACGTTTGGACAAGTTCCAGGGAACATTTGGAAGGATAAACAAAAAACTCGACCAGCCGCACTTTGAGAAGAGGAGCACAAAACGATTTCCGCAACCGATTTCAAACGATCAAGTGTTGTATTATTGTTATTTCCAACGCAACACTTGCAGCGAATAATGGCACACTGCGCCAATATCGCGCAGGCGAGAAAAACGGCGCGTTTGGGTAAAATACAGTCGGCGAGAGCGCGAAAACAGGGACGTGATCACGCGCCGAGATCCGAGAACCGAATGAACACAACTTATATGGCAGATTGGCAATAGCAAAGAGAGGAGGAGGAGAAGAAGAAGAAAAGTCATACTTTGGCGCCATCCCCGGCGCAGCTCTTTCCCCTAGCGAGCGACCGGCCGTCGTCGTCGCGTCGCGCGACATACAGACGCGGAGCGGTAAGAGGCGCGGCTGCGAGAGCCACACACATCCTCTCTCTCTCTCTCTCTCTCTCTCTCTGTAATGCCATGCTTGCAAGCTGTGTGTAGCATATATTTTTTTTTGTTTTTCCGTGTCCTTGTCTCGTAGTAGGTGTACATACGCATAGTAGGTGTAACAGTGGTAGTGGCGCTAAGTCACAGTAGTAATACAGGCGCCATCCGCGAAAAGAGAGCCAGTCAGTCGACGGCTGGCTGGCGCGGCTGGTATTTAAAGGCTGACGCGATGGTCTGCCAATGCGCCGGCGACGGCATGGACGGAGTATCTATATGTACATTTTTTTTTTTTTTTCATACATAAGCGTGTATAGAAAGAGAGAGAGAGAGAGAAAGAGCGCACACAAAAGTAAATTGTGCGTGTATATTATATTGGATGCAGTCAGCGGCGACGGCGACGGCAACAAACAACTCCCTTAAACGCCAGACACATTTTGACGATAACGCGCGCGGTGTCTCTCTCTCTGTTTTTCTTATATAAATATACACACATCGGCACACAACTCGTCTGTCTCGCCGATACGCGTTTAATGCGTTTATTTAGCATAATTTGTAATTGAATCGCATGGGCGGTTTTTTCTTTTTTTGTCTGTCACGTGCGTCATACGCTGCGGAGAGAGAGAAAAAAAAAAAAAAAAAAAAAAAAAAAAAAAAAAAAAAAAAAAAAAAAAAAAAAAAAAAAAAAAAAAAAAAAAAAAAAAAAAAAAAAAAAAAAGAGCGCTCGGTTGAGCGGTACGCGGCCTTATAATTGATCGGTTGGTGTAATTTTTTGCGAATCGGTGCGAATTTGCGGGTAAAAACTGGTGCAGCCAATGTCGGTGGTTGCGAACAACCAACAACTGCATTGTACCAATATACATGTATTAAATTTTACTTGAAGAGCATTGTTGAACAAACGGAGAGTTTTCTTCTTTCGGAATTTAAAAAATTCGAAAAATATAAAAGAAAATTATTAATATTTAAGCACCTGAACAAGAGCCGCGGCTTGCACGTTATCGATGCATGCATTTTCGTATATAGCCTTAGTGATCTCAACGAGATTGTCTAGGTGTCGAGAAGTTCCTCGTCTCCATCGATGTTTTTTCAACGTATTTTGACAGCTTGAGTTCGAGGAAGGAGCAATGCCGGAAAATTGGCAAGGAAACAAAAGCTATAAACAGTTAACATTTTTCAAATTTACGAGGTTTTTAGTTTTTTTTTTTTTTTTTTTTTTTTTTTTTTTTTTTTTTTTTTGTGTAAATTAATTAATTCAACTCTTCGATCTAATGTACACCTATAATCATGCATATAAATGATAAACTGCTTTCAATTTATCATCTAATTTCAAGCGTAACTATATTTAAAAATATTCTAAAGGAAATTGATGTACATCATCGAACATAAGTAAATATAAGAAAATTACAATAAATCATTGAGTCCTAGAAGTAGTCGATTAATCAAAAGTACTTTTTAACGAACTTATTGAAAAAAAAAAATTATTTTTGCACGCTTTCAACGGAAATGGTTAATAATTTTCTTCGTAAAACTTTTCTAGTTTCCAGCAATAAAAATTGAATGAGAAAGTTATAGAAGAAACTTATGTTTAAAAAATCTTCTCGATATGTTATGTCCCGCAAACACTCCGACTTATATTGACAATATTTGTACAAGTATTAAAACGAGCATGGGCTGATCAGTTATAACGTACTACTCAAGCCAAACGATTGTAAGTTTTTATTTATTTTCCGACAATCGGTCGGAGGGAACTCCCTGGCACCCAGACTGGAAGATAAGATGATGTATAAGTATACATCCGTTTCTGTATTTGTTTTGTCTGCAGATCGATTAATCGGCAAAAGTTAAATGTACATAACAAGAGATTAATATTATTATACACAATCTTAGTTACGGGTAATTGGACATATCTAGAATATACATCCATATGTGTAACGATTAAACCATAAATGTAATATATACATTATCATGAGATGTCAGATATTTGACGTGATCGACAAATTAAGCACAACTCTCTCTTTCTCTCTTCTTTTTTTGTCGTCACTCAATACATATAGGTACCCTCTTATCTCCACTCTAACGATAGCGAACGGCTTATATTTTTCTCTCGCGAGACTGTCTGGTGCTATGTACATACGAATTTCCTATTTATAGTTGCGCGAAACATTTTTGCGCGCTTTAGCAAGCGAGGAAAATTCATTTTACATTTTTCAATGGAGCAACTATTTTAAAATTTTAAGAAAATTCGAGTTAAAAGTGATGCAGGGACGGATTTTGTCTATTACAATTGCACGGCCTCTCGTTTGATTTACCGATCTTTTAAGGATCCAACTCACATCGAGCTGTTTCATCAAATTTACGCGAAGTACAAAACCGGGCAGTATTTCATGAAACTCATATAAAATACATATAGGCAACCGACCGGGCACTCAGATGGCCCATTTCTATGGTATTTAACATATTGTAACACTACTTACATTCACAATCGTTCAAAGGCATATACATGTATATTCTAAAATATGTTATTAAAATTATCCCTTCAACATTAAAATTTGCATATTTTATGTATAAGTCCCGACTCTCTGTCTCCTTCGACTCCCGACGGGACCATAAATTTACAAGTGGCCTCTTATTCATCACAAAGGGAAATTTCGCTTTTACAACTCGACAGGTACAACATGAAGTCTTAAACTCTACCACCTGAACGTCATATGCCCAATTACTATAATTGTGAGATAAAAATTGCGATTTTTATGGACGAGCTGTATACGTATTCGCCAACCTTATTGTCCTTGAACTTCAATCGGCGCTCGAATGAATAATATATAATCTTTATGATCATTTACTTTTAATTTCAGAGCCCAAGGCCCATGCCTACGTATACATGGTAAGTATGTGCGTACATCTTACACCTCGCGCCAAACGGAAGTTGCAGTCTGAAAGTTAATGAGGAGACTTTTGAAGAAGAAAATGTTGATCGTTAATTTTTTGGTGTATAAAATAAAAGTGGATGATGTTAATTTGACTTAAATTTAGTCGCGTAAAGCGACATTGAGTTGTCATATCGTGTGAATCTACACGCAATGTATGAATGTACTAATTCGTAGTTCGTAGATATATATGAAACATCGCTCACGCTTATATGTGCCGTTGTAAGTAGTAAATGGTAAGTGGTACCTATCTATATATATACCTATGTATGCGATTCTCATAAAAAATTTGGGAATCTAATCTCATTGATTTTTATCCTTGTAAAGTATAGGTAAGTACGCATATATAATATATATAATTAATATCTGCTCGACGCGTATTGCATAACGATCCTTCAAAACGCGTGTTTTACCTCTCGCGTGTAGATAAGAATTTCGTACACCAGACGCTGCTATCCGGCCGTTGCGTGTACCGCTGGAATGAGTGAAACAAGGAACGACAATTGTAATTAACTAAAAAGTTACAATTATAATTAGACGTGGGTTCGCTGTTTCAAGAGGGGAAAAGTAGTTGCGAAGAAATAGTATCTGAATCAATACATACCACCATTATAATTGGGGTCCAAGTCACAATAGTGTTAAAAACTAACTTTTTTAAAAACATTTTTTACAAGACAAGCATTATTATTTTAATTATAATCATTATCAATCATATATTAAATCATATGTCATTCCGTAACATCGAGCCTTTTTCGTGGGGTCTATACATATATATATTATACGGTACTGTTGTCGACCGCGTCACAGTTACCGCATGTAGGTATTTGTTTGAGTTTATCGACGGATGATGACAAACAGTGATTACTTACCGTCGGTAAGTTAGAATGTTTGCTTTTAAAAAAAGAGCAAGAGTCTATAATATATGTATGAATGTATGCACATATATCTTTTGTTTTTTTATATCTATCTGCAACTCTACCCACTCAATCACCAAGTTTTAAATCATAAGTACGCATGGAAGACGAGACAAATGAGTGACAGAGGTTATTACTTAGCTTAATTGTTTTTCTCGACGTTTTTATAAGAAAATCTACTTACCAAAGTAGATTCATGTGGGTATGTGTATATTACTTACCACAAACGAACCTGTAATCTTATCCTACTGGTTGTCTCATTGGATGTGTGACTGTTACTGACGTTTTGTCTCAAGAAGAGTATCAGAAACTTAATCCATACAGTCCAGTTGAGAGTCCTTATATATTCATGTGTGAAAACTTCTTTGAACTCCCATTGAAGTACCCATTGCAAGGGAAGCATAAAGGGTAATTACAAACTTGTATTAGTTATAATTGTTTTAATTATTTTTACGCATAAAAATGATTAAAGTTACAAACGTTATAGTATGCGCTGATAGGTGTAAACTTGCAGTATAACGATTTAATTCACATTTTCTTTCTTCTTTTTCTTTAACTTTACACAATCCTAGTGTATGTGCAGATATCGACTATTAACGTATTTACAACAATCTTATCTGTAGATTGAGTACATGTAGAACTTTAAAAATGAATGTGTTTCCTTTTCTACTTGTTGCAGATATTAAACAAATTAACCAATAAAGTATCATCAGTATCTGCATGAACATCGATTTGTCAGTCTTCTTTGCCTACCTATATCATATAAGGACAGTATAATTATAATCATGAACCAAATGTAACTCATTAGATCACAAAAAACTATGAATCAGTGGAACAATATACTGCGTAAAGTTCGTTTGATAAAAAACGTGAATACTTGATAAAGGTCCGCATTGAACAAATGAAGTGTGGCGCCCTCTTACCAGCTGAGCGAGGAGATGCGAGAAAAATCAAGAGTCCAAAGAGTCAATGAGTAATACTGATCATCACCACGAGTCGAGGAACTTAGTTATTTTTCTTTCTCTTCAAGTACACACATAGTGTATATCCTTGTGAGGAAGAACGAATAATATATATACCTATTGGTATTGAAAATAAAAATCTGCCAAGCTTCACAATTCCTCTCTTCTATACCTGGGACGAAGAGACAACTGCTTCAGGAAGAATCACAGGTTTTGCAGGAATTGTCCCGAGAGACTCACACCCAACTTTTTCTTGTTCCTTCTGCTACCGACCAAAAGAATAGACATATAGCTAGTTGGTTCGTCGTCGCCTCTAGCTCTACGTCATCACCACGAACAAAAAATCTCTGTGTAATTTGGTACGCCTAGGGACTAGGGACAGATAGAGAGATGCGTTCAAGACAAAGGTGTATATGTATGTACAACAAAAGCATCGCCTGAACTAAGAGTCACCTATTGTCATAATTAAACTACGAGCATCAACAGCCGGGCTGTGTATGTGACTTGGGCCGCAGCAAAAATGTCGGCGTCAGCTGCATGATATCCACACGGCGCACAAACGACAGAGAAAGAGAGCAGCGAATCCGAAGCAACAGCGGCAAGGAGATTAGCTCGCAGGAGTAGGAGAAAAGACTACCGTGCGAGCCCACTCGAGCGCAAGACCGTAATGTCAGAAGCATCATTGTCGTCGTCGTCAACGACATCCAAAGCGTCCAAAGGTAAACGCAAAGGTAACAGTACAACTGGTGCCAGCGCCTCAGAACTCCAGCAGCTGCAGAACGGAACTGTGAGCAACCTGACAAATACCTCTTTGGAAACAAACTGTCCTATTTGTGGCGAAACAGACAGGGCAAAACTCCGAAACTGTTCGCGTTGCAAGGTAGTGTCCTACTGCACCAAGGAGCATCAGACTCTGGACTACAAGGCTCACAAAAAACTCTGCATAGAAGTTGACAAGGCACAGGATCAAGTGAAGAAGCAACAATTAATAAAACAATTGTTTGTTGAGACTGTGGCTAGAGTACCAGAGCGAGGTAATATATTTTAATAATATATTGACACTTTGCTTCAATTGAAACATTTCATTGAATTTCATCTATGAAATTTAAACATTAAAATTAGCTTTCAATTATTAGTGAAATACTAGTTTTCAAAAGTACATATTTTAAGTTTTTTTTGCATGTTAATATTTCAAATTATTTATCATTTGTGTTATCATTCAGGAGAACCTGTTGGAATTGGAGCAGTCAAAAGAATAGGTCTTGATAAAGATCACAAAAAATCGAACGTCAAAAATAAGGAAATAAATCAAAATCACGCAAATAAATCCGAAACTACAGAAACAAATCGAAATCACAGAGAAGACAAAGGAATTAATCTCCATAAAAAAGAGAAAGGTGATAACAAACCACCCATTACCCACGAGGGTAGTTCAGAAGACACAATACTCGAGTCAAGGGAAGAGCTCTTAAATCCTTTACAGGATTTAAAAGTGATAAATAACACGGCAACAACGACAACGCCAACAATGCCTCGAGTCCAACCACAAGTCAATGGGATGAAGCATTATTCCGAAATACAATTAAGTTCAGAAAATGCAACGTTTTCACAAGACGCAGATACTATGGACAACATTGACCGTGTATGTCTTGAAATAATATACGATATGAACACGTATGGAGTATGTGTGGTAGATGAATTTCTTGGTAGGGAAAAAGGTGAATCAGTGCTTAAGGAAGTTTTAAATTTACACAATCTTGGATTATTTAGAGAAGGTCAGTTGGTTTCTAACAGAGCAAGCATTAATCAAGCAAGAACAATACGTGGTGATCAAATAGCGTGGCTGGATGGCAAAGAAAGATACTCCCAAAACATCGGTATGTTGATATCAAAAGTGGATGCTATAATAATGAGAGCGAATCAGATGTGCAACAATGGCAAATTGGGTGAATACACAATTACCAGCAGAACCAAGGTAACTTTTTATTTATAATCCGTTGTTCTTACAATAACTGCGAGTCGATTCAAATTTGACTCTACTTTTTGTTTGTACTAAAACACGTAAAGAAACTTTAAAACTTATTCTTGACTGTTGCAAGTACATTAAAACCATCAAAATATTATCATTCGTCAATAAAATTTTTCCTCGCATAATCTTAAAAGTAAATTTTGACGAAACTGACGAATCTTTATCACATTTTATCAATAATTAACTATATGTAATAAGTATTTAATAACCAATGAGTAATTTCTGATTTTGCTGAATTACATAAGTAATCAGTCTAATCAACGTATTAATTAATGTATCATTTGAAAATGGGAACGTGATAGGACGCTATTAACGAAAAAATTTTAATTTTCGAATCTTTGAATTCTTTATTGAAGTTATTTATCAGAGGCCAATGCGTCACGACCGCATGTATATATTGTGTATACCAAGGGCCATCGATAAAACAATGTAGAGTACTTAGTGTGAAAAAGAAAAAAAAATGTATATAATTGAATGATGAAAAAAAGAAAGGGCAACTTCAAACGTTTGCAAAGTTGTATTAAGTACGCGCAATTTACACTGGTGAGGCCAGCTGGTGTTTTTCGCAAATAGAGCCGTTCTACCGAATAAGCAAACACGCGCGCATGCAAGTTATAAGTATACTCACTGATGCTATTATTATACTCTCGTACTCTGGCCGAGTGTGCCATATAAATATACACACCTACATACACATCAACCGCGGCCATTCACGTTTCTTCTCATGACCGGCGTCAAAATGTTGCGACATCTACTACTACTACTACTAATAACACTCACAAGTTCCGTACTTTTACTGTTGCTTTCTCCTAATCGCTCTCTACATGTGTCTCTATATACAGGTCCATGAAAACAGAGCAAACGGTCACGTAGGCCATACTCTCGAGGTTTTTTTTTTTTTTTTTTTTTTTCAATTTTTTCGTTACTTGCTGCAACTGATTTTTGTATATTTATGCATACTTACAGTTGTTACACTTTAATGGTGTTTTCCTTACTGAAAAAATATTTGCTAGATTAAAAAATATTGTTATTAGTATCTTAACTCTAAAAGCTCTGAATTTAAAGACTAGCTATTATCGTTACCACCGCTACAAAAACCAAAGCGAACTATAGTAACTGATTAAAAAATGGATATCATATAGTTGTTTTTAATGCTGAGTATTATCCAAGAATTTTTTTTAATTCTAAGATTATTTTTTCGGTTCTAGAAATATTATCTACTGACTGGATAAATAAAATTAACAATACTGGTTTGCAACGTCGAAGAAGAAGCATAAAATAGTCTAGAAAAATTGAATTTTTCGTTAATACTTGTATGTATAAACTCGCAAAAAAAATAACACCCAATCAATACTATTTTTTGTCATCATGAAGACCCTTTAAATTATTTTCTTCGACTTTATACAGACATAAATAGATTCATTCAATTATGAATAATCGAAAGAACTACGTGCGACAAGCATGATATCGGTGATAACTTTAATTGCACGGATAGGTATTTCCAAGCAACGCGTGATAAAAAATTATATTATCATCGGGACTTGTAGTATCCGAAAGCTTGGTTTGTACAGCAACAATAAGTAGCAATGTGCTTTTATTTATTGTACTCTTGACACTTTGCGTACATCACTCTTTTTTCCGTGATTTAATCGCCATATTTGTACAAGAATTGACTTCAGTGATGCGCTAATGAAATTAGTACTTACGGTCCTTTTTCACTTTTACTGCTTAATCTTCTTTATTTACCCATATGAATTCTAGTTTCGAGCAGTAACAATGTTTTTGTAAAATTAAAAATGATGAAATTCGTTACAGAAAGAATACAATGCTAATACAAAGAGAAGGTTTACGCTACAAGTGATTCAACGCGTAAAAACAAATTTAAATGGCCCACCTAAAATTTGAGGGGTTAATGGGCCGGCTAAAGTACATAAATAAAAAATATGTAAACGACGCATTGAGATATGGGGGAGCAGCTGTCATTATTTTTTGTACGTAGGCGAAGCGAACTTGTAATTTAGAAGTGCAGAGGTACAATTTTAATTTTTATCAGTTTGGATATGATTTAATTGTAATTTTAACTTGGCAGCCGACAATCTACTGCATTATGTGGGTATTATTTGTTTATACTTAGAAAGGTATTTTTTTTATGCAGTACGTGACAAAACTGACTTTCGGATGTGTTTGTTTCGATTATTGATTTAAAATTTATACACTATTTCTTTTATTGTGACAAAAAAGTTCAAAGATATCGTGAATTTGTAGTGTAAAAAATACCATCGAACTAACTTTCGCAACAAAAACCATAATTCAATTCAGTGATTCGAAAAGAGTGATTTTAACATCGCCGTTGTCGTTTAGGGGTTTTTTTTTTTTTTTCTATGGTAGATTACTTACAACTCATTTTAAGCGATAACACGTACTAATGGACTAAAATGATACAGTAATGTCACGTAGACGCGTCTTTTAACGCTTGTATGCTTGCGCGAGCGTGATATTTCCATACTTCAACATTTCGCTATTGTGTCGAAATTTAATCTCTTAGTTAAATTTTTTTTCTTTCTTGGATTGAACTATGTATAGTACCAATGTTTATTGTTGACAGCAGCTGTGCGAACTGAGGAGAATCACTTGTCCGCATAGCGTTGACCTTTTAAAAGTTTAAACAACCAAGTCGACACCTATCCACCAGCATGTTTTAAAATTGTAATATTGCTGCTCACGCGAGGGACTAACTAAACAGTTGTTAATTGTTCATAAGATGTACATATATATTGTGATATTGATTGTCTTTACATTAGTTTTGAACTGACAACTTCTCATGTGCCATTGTATTGTGCTTCCGAGAAATTTTTTTTTTCCGTTCGAGTTATTCAAACATATGCAAATTGACTAGAAATAACAAAAGCCTAAAGAAATTTACTAATAATACATTACGCACTGACGGGTACATTAAAATCTATACGTATAAAACTGAACTTTGTCAGTCAATTTCAAAACAATCGAAAATTGGACCCATGAAGGGCAGTTACGAAATACGCTCGGTTTTTTTTTCGTACAATACAAGTAAAGCTTCTCAAATTAAATTCAGTTATTCGTCCAGCTAACGGGAAAAACCCAAGTGATGAACCTGCGCTCATTATTTTTTCTCCCGTGGAATCATAAGTAAGGCACTCCATGTCTAAAAATAAAATATACAAGATAAATTATTAATCTTGAATCATCCAGTTGGTTCTACGAAAAAAACAATATACTCTTCTATTTATTTATAACAATACGTACTGCGCCTTCCCATATCTCTCATAATTCAAGTCAAATCAAAGAGGACATCAAGACGATGATTCATCGATCACTTGTGGCACACGAAACTTTTTGTTATTCAATTCTCATTCCCGTCCTTCTGCACGTAACTTTCTTTTTCTTGTTTCACGTTCCTGACCTTCTCAAAATAAACCAAAACGTACTACGTGACACTTCGAGCGTGTACTACCACTTACTTATTCGAAAGGACGTTCGCGACCCCCTTTACGCATGATTAAAAATTCATCGTCCTATTTTACAATGCGGTAAGAAAATAGGTTCTCGCATAAAAATTTTGCACTGCCTACGTGGATCGCGAAATTTATTCGTGTATACTTATCACGAAAAACAGAATTACCCACATTCGAGTGTTTTAGCGTTTGCGCACCGAATTTGGAACCAGTGCAAACTCTAATTGTAGGAAGGAAAAAAAACAACAACAACTTGAGATTAAAATCAAAAGTTGTTTTAAAAGCTACCTCGAATGACATTTTAACAGAGAAGCGAAAAATGCCTAACAATTTAAAAATAACGACACGTGCTACAATTGATCAATGACAAAGCCTCGATCGAACGTTTTTTTGGAAACACTGCGACGATGACAAAATGCTCGCCTCGCTTGTGCTGAACGTGCACGCTTGAAAAGTTATTATAAAACGATACACCTATATACGTGCAGTCTTGCTCGATGGAAACTCGATCGTCGAAAAAACCAGGGGTGACCCAAGGTCGAACAAAAAGGGGAAGGGAGAAATTTGGGCGACAAAGGTTCGAGGGGTCTCAGAGGTCACGTACACCTATAATAGGTAAATATGTATATGCGTGAAAGGAAAGATGTATAACTACCCATATTGGGTTATTGGGTTCTTCTTCAACGCGTGCTTTTATTACATGCGATATCGGTACGAGCACACATAGTTATAAGTATAAAGTGCGAATGAAAATTAACTTTTTTGACATTTAACATTCAAGAAGAAAGTTGTTTTATCAGGAATTGAGGTGCGATAGTAACTTAATGTTTACGTACGCTTGGTTATTTATATTTTGTGTTTTATATGCTATCAATTTTTTTTTTTTTTTTTTTTTTTTTTTTTTTATTTTTTTTTTTTTTTTTTTTT